ACGGGGAATAAGAAGATTAACGGCAGAAGGACACTGGCATATTACACTTGAAGTAATTAATGACATTCAAGCCGCTTTGCAAGGTCACCTAAGATCATCGAAAGCAGATCCAAACTAAAGCTAGTGAGTGAATCGAGAGTATGCGTAAGGAGGAAGTTAGCCAAATGTCCGCGATACCATGACAATATTTGGGGTTTGGGTGTAACAGATAATCTGACATATCCTGACAGCATGAGCAGACCCCAATTACGCAATATGCAGCCGCCTGGTGCAGATTACATAGCATTTCTTCTCGCCAAAGTGTTATACGACAGATGAAAATTATCAGAAGAATTCGCAAGCTTCAGCATGTAGTACGGAATATCTGACTGGAATTATAAGAGAAAGAAAAAGTGACTACACGAAGCTGCATTCAACCAAAAATAGCTGTGCAAAAGCATAATCCAGGAAAACCGCAAAGGAGTGCAAAAGCAGTTGTCTGACAATCTGACAATTGTTTGAGCAGCGTTATTATTCTAAGCCAGTTCGACAGTTTGCCCTTACAAGAGCGTTATTCAACTCCGTAGCTTTATTAATGTTAGCGATTCACGAAGCAAAAGTATTAAAAGTCAACATTTCGCTATATTGCAAAATGTTAGAGCCATGAATATGAAAGGAAAAGGTTGCACAACCGAAAGAGCGTGACATCAAGCCGTGTACATTTTAGCAATGATGACTCACCATTCATGCCTTCTTGTTCGGCAATTCTTTGCCAGTCAGTTCTAGGAGGCGGCGCGTGGGGACAAGTACCACTCATCTCCGCCGCTGCTAGCTCCTCCACAAAAGCTCCCTATAACATCAAAGTATGGCGCCAGAATACAAAAGAAACAAAGATCAGTAGTACCTCAGTCACGGAAGCTGACCAGTCTACATAAGTTCCAAGTTCTACAAGCAGCTTTACACATCCGTCAAATCCCAGCATCTGAACAAATCAATATGGAGTATTTGGCTCAAAAAATGATTATACCAACCTGGTAATAGTGAGTTAGATTGTTGACTTCTTCATGTGGAAATATCGCGACCAGCACATCCAGTTCAGAGATTTGCGGAATGACTCTGCATAAGCATACTTTCAAATCAGTACAAGCGCAATTGCAAAGAGCTCACTCCATTTTGGTCACGCGGTCCTTCATTCGAATTTTGGGATCCTTCAACCGTTCAACTGTGTACGATGAGCCTTCAGTTATATCTTTCAAATCACATGTGATACCAGCACATGTTAACGTAACTGAAAACCCCAGATGAAAAATGGGTAACTAGTTATTCCAAAAAATGTCCTGGATTTTGCTAAACTTTTGTCTAGAGGGGTTATTTGGTGCGCTGAACACGAATATGACGTTTATTTCGCGCGGTAGT